GGCCTCTCTGTAGCTCAGGTTTGTTGAAACTGCAGAACTTCTGAAGCTGCTGAGAAGGGGACCCGGAGGAGTGAGGTTGGCCATTAATATTCTCATTTGTGAGGCACTGGTTTTCATCTTTGTGTAAGATGTATTTAATATGTGCGTTGTTCCAAGCTTAAAGCCCCGGCACTTACCTGGAGAAAAGAGACTTCATGGAGATAAAAACATTGAAGGAAAATCCCAGTGTTTCCCCCCCAGGTGTTGTGTATTTTGCACAGCAGAGCTAGTGAGGACAGTTGCGTCGGTCACACATCGCTTTCCATTATCAGATCTTGCCTTCAGTTGCTTATAACTTTGCCAGCCTTTGCTGCCTTGGCTGGAACCATCCATGCTGGATCTCCACCTGGAACAGCACTTTGAGAAATGTCTGTGCTTTTGCCCGTGTTACAGACTTCTTACAGAAGTGTTACTGAGAAGCTTAAGTGCCTCCATGCATTAGGGCAGGGCTTTGGTCAGGTGCAGCTGGAGGATTTGGGGGCTGGGACATGTGGTTAAGGGATCAAGAGGAGATCAGGGCTGGAGCCAAGGGTCAGAGAGTATTGGGGAGTGGGGACAGTAGCTGTGAGGAGGGTTGTGAGTCTTGTGGGGTGGTGCTTAAGGTGATGTTTGAGGGCATCAGAGACCGGATCAGAGCTATGAAGGTGACAGGGATGGGGAGGAGTTGGGGGTGAGACCTGGAGCTGAAGGGGGGATATTGGGACTGGAGTGTGGAGTGCTCTGTAGGGTGCAAGGGGTGCCTAGGCCTCATGCTGGCCCTCTGCCCCCAGGGTATCTCACCTCTTGCATTCACTGAACTGTGGGTTTCTGTGTTGATTCAGGTAGGGAAACATTCTAATGTCAAAGTTTTAATGCTTGAATCTTCCAGGAAGAGCATGAGGGAGAGCAGCTTTGTGTTAAATGAACCCATCTGAGTTAATATTTCTAAGCAGAGGGGGCTTGGCAGCAGGCTCTCAGTGCCGCCTACTGCTCCA